ATCTTCTCCTCATAGTGGTTTGCACGTTACATTTTCTGTCATATTGTATATAAATATATACAGCTCAGCTTCCCAAAAAGTAAATTATTTATAATTAAAAAGGTCATGAAAGCAGACTGATTTGATATGAGTATAAAATATGTTGATATTAAAGCATATTGTTTGATTGCGATCTTACTCATAAGCCAATTAAGTTGTTCATCGCTGTATTCCTCGTTGTACTTTAAGCTTCTTGTTGTGGGTACGCGAACGACGTCCTGCTCTACCTAACCCACTCACACAACCACCGACAGTGTTGCTTCGGCCTGGAGATTTTCCCGAGCCATGGAACCGAGCCGAGCGCTAGTGAGCCTACACGTGCTCTGCACGTGATCTTGGAGGGGTCCGGGCGCTCGCACACGAATTATGAGACGGACGCAGTTTTAAGCACCAAATCTTAACCGTTCACCCACATTCCCGACCTGACTTCTGGTTCCGTGGCCCACTACGTTGGTCGCACCTATCCAATCGTAAGCCAGGTAATCCGTCGTGGTGAGTCGTACGTGTGTGTTAGGTTCGGTCGCACCGTCACGCGCGTCGGCGTCGACACTCGGTCTCTGCGTGTACACTTGTCGTTGTGCGACCGCCCGTCGAGAGATGACAAGTGTCGAAAGCCTGTTTGCTGTCTGGTAGAAGGCAGCCGAATGCTGCACCGGAACAGTGACGCCGTCTACTCCACGTCGGACTCTTCCTCGTTCCACTATTTTGGCCTTGCTTCGATCCGACGGTCCCTATCGCATTCTCCGAGACCGATAAAGACCCTCCTCGCCGCACGCCTCTCGCCGTTTCCTCCTTTACCAGATGTCGAAAGCGTCAGAGGTGGCGGAGGCCGTCGAGTCCAAGATCTTCCGCCTCTTCGGCCGGGAGAAGGCCGTCCACCGGATCTTGGGTGGCGGAAAGCGTATGCGCTCTTTCTTCCTCATCTCTAAATGTCTTCTTCATTCATTGGTTTCCTTAGGTGATCTTGGCTAGTTTGACAGTGGAGCTGATTGTAGCTGAGATCCATGGAGTTGTAATTCGATCTCTCACATCGTTTCTTGAGGCACGACTGAGGATTTGCATCCGTTTTCTTGAAAGGAAAAAAGAAGAATCCTGGGACGTTTGGCCCTTGTTATTAAATGTTCGAGAACGTAAAACCCTAATATGGGCTTTTTGTTCCGGTGATGATCCACGTCGTCCTCGCTAGTCAATTGTATGGAGCGTGAAACCCTAGGTTGATCTTTTGACATCACGGAACCATAAAGATCCACATCGGGAGAGAACACGAAACCCTGATTTGATTTTGGTTGATCAGCGTGAAACATCGTTTCCATCTTCTTTTCTTGGTTAATGAGATCATCAACATCTGTATGTACTGGATTTCTTGGAGAATTTATTTGCACACCACTGTTGTTGTTTCTCATAAACGGTTGAATCATATGCAGCGGCTGATGGAAGAAGAAGAAAACCTCGGCCGCTGTGCTCAGTGGGGCCACACCCGTGTGGGTCTGGTTTGAGTTGATGGAATACCATTTGCTTAGTTTGGTCTGCCACTGCCTGGTATCGTCCCTTGCCATCCTTTTCCTGTGGTCCGATACCTCCACCTTCATCAACAAGTGAGATGACCACTGCGAGTTGTGTTTCTCCTCATTCGACTCCAAATAAGATGCAGCTATATGATCGCTTACCTTGTTCGTGTTGTAGGTCTCGGCCTCACGTTCCTGAAGATCTGGCAGTGAACATTGCGCTTTCTCTCAGATAAGAGATCAACAGAGGGTTTGGCAGTTTAAAGGGAAATTGCAACAGGGCGTGATCTGAAGAAATTTCTTGCAGTATGCCACTTGATATAGTGTTTTGGAATAGGTGATTGCTGGGATGTTGGGCTCTCTCTTTCAATCGTTGGGAGCTGCTGCAATTTCTTGACTTTGTTTTACATAGGTAAAATGATCGTCAGATTTCTACTGGATTTCAGTTCACCTATGTCATGCTTCACACTATGCCTTTTCTATATGATTGAGTATGAAGTCCAAGAGTTTGAGCAAGATTCAATAGATAAAAAAAGTTTCAATAGATAAAAAGGTATTAATTGTTTTAGATGGTTACTTGATAACTTCGATCTTACTATTTATTTCATTTTGAACTCTCTTTTTAGTCCTAAACAAGGTGTCTGGTCTCTGACAGTTCCGATGGGATAGGTGGGAGCAATTCAGGTTTTCATGACATGGATCATACTTATGGTGCCATAGCCATACTAAGCATCAGCATTCCATTGTATACCATTTCTGCTGAAGGTCTAATTCCACTGAATATATATATATATATAT